TTTAAAGTTATTTTTGCATAGTCATAAGACATTTACTTATTAAAAATATTTATATGTGTAAAATTGTAATATAAAAAATATATTTATACAAATAAAGTGTATGGACTTCTCAAATTATACAATTTTATTACAATATTTAATGTTGTAAATAAATTTGTTTCAACGTTATTAAATATTGTAAATTATTAAATAAAAGAAAAATTAAAATAATTAAGACAGTTATCTTATTATAATTTATTTCTATGCATTATGGACAAAAAAATTTTTGTCCATTTTTTTCATTAGATTTAGGAATTTGTTATACATATAATAAATACGAATTCTTTCGTAAAAGAGAGAGAAAGTGTATTATAATATAACGAGTTGCAAAGTATTGGCATTAAATGGCAAGCTACTATAAGATTTACAAAGAAGAATAACGAGCGATTCTTTTAGCAGATTCTATCACTGACACTATATTTACAATAATATGAATAAAATATCTTAGTCAAAATGAAAGATGTTTGTCAGTTTTCTCTTAATGACTAAGATTTTCGCGTTCTTATCTCTTTCGCGATGCACGAAGCATCTCCAAATTCTTTTAAAAGAATTTAATACTGATCAGGAAGCCTCATACTACAAAGAGAACTATGAGAACACATGTTTAAATCTAATGTTACTGGAAGAGACAAACGTAATTGGGCAAGAAAAAAGAACTAAACGGTAGAATAATAAGATAAAAAAATTCTCGATAAATTAACTAAGGGAAGAGTAGTAGCCCCCCGACCGTGGGGCGGTGACGATGTTAATATCTGATCTCTGTGGGAATAATATGGGTAATCATAAGTTCTAGAGCTCGCCCCGGGCAAAGATCCCGTGAAACCATATGTTCAACGTGAAAGACTGCTCGACCTGTACGAAGCCTATAAAGAGGTTGAAGGCAGTCGGAAGGCACATGTGTGAAGGATTACCTGGCCAGTATTTATCTATTATCCTATACCCGGAGCCCCATAGGATAAATCGCAGTACCGTCTAGCCCGAGATTTGAACCACTGTCCGTTCAGATCGGATACGCCCACATTGGAATCATTTAAATGTATGTGTGTATAAAATCGATACGAGACGCACGCTACCAACGCTGAAAAACAAAACAAAAATTGACAAAGTAAAAAAGTAAGTACAATTGACTAGATAAAAGACGTCTATTCGCTGCGCGAAATCCATCCACGTACGTATACCATGGAGAGGACGGTATAAACACGGGCCAATAGTGGTACGGGATAAGCATAGTACTATCGACAAACGATCGCTGCACGTAATGTTCCAAGTGAACGCCAATAGCCCACTCTTCATAAATGTTCCGCAAAGATCAACGGACAAGCAGGAGAGAATATTGAGACTCGTAGCAAGGTCGTTTGTGTATAACGTCATAGTTCAAGCCGCGACTCGTTTATCGGAAGAAATGGAAACGCTCGATGGTTTGCCATATCTGTTCTATGATCTAGTCTGATCGATAGACAGTATCATACAGTCCGACTTCGAGCGATTCGCCAGACTCGTGTTTGCAAAGGGTTCACCTCAGTCGGGAATGCGGCATTTCCTACGCGTTATTCTACACTTACGATCATGGTATACACCTATCGAAGGACAAAACGTGACAATATCTAGATAGCACGATCGACATTCGACATCCGCACGTGGACGTCTACAGATACACAAAGCGGATAACTACTCTTAACGGACCACGCGCCAATACTCATGATCTGTGATCGTTAAACGACATATTCAAACGCTCCGTTAACTTGTCCGGCCGCATGCAACATCATAGGACGGGATTTTTAGCCAACTTCGACTACTTCGCACGTCACACGTCACTAGCGTTCAAGGAGCACATCGTTATGTACATGCAATCGTATTTCTCGAAGCGAAGATGACTCGACCTACCAATTCCGGTTTTCTCGCGGCATACGCGATCTGTAGAAGCTACCGAAACGAAAATTATCAATTCAACAATATGCGAAATAACTTGTGAGTATGCGTTTGACTTCCTTAACTATGTGCGTAATTACGTGCAGAGACGACATGTTCTGCAAATGGAGAAAATACTTACTTCCGAGGCGGAAAGAATATGACATCATCGCGCACGACGTACAATGTCACAAGGTGTTTATGAACGATTTGATCGGAATTGTTACCAAGGCCTTCCTAAGACGCGAGCTTTTGTACCGCGTAGAGGGATGGTAGGATCACGTACAGCAATGCATCGTCGAGGATTTACAGTTCATAGCCGACGTAGTCGATCTCGATCTTACGACATCATGTGGACATCCGCGAATATAATCCGTAAGATGGTGAGAGCGGAATTTCGAACTATGTATTTCGCGCATGGCCTCTCCTAGATACGATGTGGCAAAGAACATGTTCAACGCGACCACCAAGAGATCCATGAACCGCGGAGTGGTAGCCTTTCGAGCACTGAACGACACGGATACAGGTGTCTATCTCATCTACAGCTCTGCATTGAAGGGTAAATACCTGACGCTCATCACGTACATTTGGAAGACAATCTTAAACGTTTCCGAGCCACCGCTGTTTGTAGAGATGACGAGACGAACGCCAGCTTGCAAAACGACTTGCAGGTGATACGAATGCTGTTTGCTATGTACGCCACATGTGCTCCGTACGCAATTGTTGTTGCGACCGGAAGTCACGTAAATGACGGATCTCGCAGACGAAGATACTAGATAGAGATACTAAAATTCTATATTGATATTAAAATTGCATAGAAATGTGTATCTTTTGCTGTTATTTTTCAAACATTATGACACGTTATTTGTGAGATAAATCGAGATCTATATCTCATTAAATATATTTGAACAAAATTTAAATAATTACAGCTTTGAAATTAAGCGCTTCTTGAATAAAAAGAAACATTTTAGTACATGTGGCGTTCGATAAAATAAATCAAAATTTAAGTTTAAGCAACATTAATACCTAGCAAATTTATTGAGAACTGCATCAAAACAAACACATGTTTTATTTACATGTAACATATATAAAATTTATATATACATATATATTAACGTATTTATTTATTTATAGTAATCTTATTTTTCAAGTAGTTTTGTTTTTCTTAATAAAATTTTGTCATGAGTTATAAATCTTGTAAAGTAACCATAATCAAATTTACGTAATCAAATTACTTTCTATATATTCTATGTACTTTCTATGCGTGTCTTTTTCCTGTTTTATTTCTATCTTTCTATCTTTCTATCTTTCTCTCGTTCTATCTCTTTTGTTATCTCTTGTTTCTATTCTTTTATATTCTATTTTTTCTTTCCTTATATTTTTCCTTTCTTTTCCTTCAATTTCTTTTTATACTTTTCCTATCTTTTTTCTTTCCATCTGTTACGTCCGAAGTTCTAAAGGAAAGATAATACCTTCGGTCAGGAAGAGGAGAATTCGGGTGTGTGCACGGAACTGTTGTTGTTTTCACAAATCGACGTCGTGGAGTCGATCCGCGAGTCGAACGCGCCTTAAGAGGACAGGAACTAGGTCAGCGCGGTGACGTTATAACCCTTACCTGCGCCAGCGCTATCGGTGGTCCGTTTTAGGTCAGAGAACCGCATTTCTTTAATCAAGGATGGACCTCGTGCGATCTTCAGGGAGCCGTGAACGGTTCGGAGTCAAGTTTTTTTTAGTAAATAAATAGAGACGGGATTCGAATTAACTATGATTTAATAAAAAAAAGGAAATACAATATATTAATTCTACGATCCTAAGAAGTGGCGCAAATATTAGAGTGTACATTTGAATATGGAAGTTCTGTTCACAAAATTTTCATACATAAAACTTCAAATAATAGAAAAATTCGGTACAATCTTTCGTTACAACTTATATAAATAAAAAAAATCCGATATCTATATTCCCAATTGTTCTAATTGGGGCAAAAAGTTGGTTATTGCGAGCATGTTAACGAGATCGGGACAGGTGTGGCGGAGGATTAAGGTGAGCGCTACGGAAAGCTTTCACAGGAACAAAGTAGGGAAGAGAGTCACGGGAAATGTACATTGGGATAATATCGTGAACTTGGTGGTTTGAGATTTGATCCCAAAACTGGTTGTCGGGTTTAAACTTTCTTTTAATGTAAAAAGCTCCCGGTGGATGGGTGGGAGAGCGGGAAAATTGATGGATGAGATCGTACTTCTCCACGTCGAAATTCTCTGGAGTGCATTGTTTCTCGAAATCTGCCGCGGAGCGGAGGGCGGTGGCGTATTGTTGCAAAGAGATGTTAGAGAGTCTCGATTCTATTTCAATTAATCGCTCCGCGAGTTCTTTGGTGTGTCCGGTTTCGCGACGAATCCGTTTGTTTAGCTTCTCCCGACGGTGTCGCAATGCCCGCTTCGTTTGCTTATTCGGAATGGCTTTCGTTTGGTTCACTATGTAAATATAAGAGTTAGGTGAGAGAGAGTGTGTGAGTTGAGAGTGATAGGGCAGCTTCACCGAATCAATCGGCGGCTTGCCAATTTGAAACGTTGAAGTGTTTTAAGGAAACAATTAAGTCAAGATCGCGAACCAAACAGCCAGTCTACCACGGGAAAGAATGCTAAAGATGGATTACTTTTGTTGTGGCGGGCGCTGGTGATGGACGAGAGGTGTGGTGCCTGGGCTGGATCGTGGATCGAATTACACGAAAATGAAAGTATCGCGCACAGATTATAACTGAGAAAAAATTTGGCGACAACCTCGGATGGTCCCGTCCATCAAGGCGTGGAGCTATGAGAAGAGAGAAGAGAGAGATCCGCTCAAGTCGAGGTTTATAAAGGATTCCGGAAGGGTGGGAATATTTGAGGCGTGATGGATTTCCGCGTTGGCTTGTCGAATGATAGTTTAGAAAAATTGCGAGTATAGAGGAAGGAGGGGAGCGGTGTTCTGTGAATTGTGGTTTTTATGTTTCCGGATTTCCTAGCGAATGATGGAATTAGTTAGTGAAAATTTCACCCGCCATTCCACACCCTCAATCATTCATTGGAGTGCCTGCCAATGGCCGCTAATCGCTTCTTCTTGATTGGCGTTTCTTTAGTTTCCTCACCAATTTGGGGAGTGTCACCCTCGAACGGTCCGACGCGTTTCTTATCCGTTAAGAATTTGATTTTGTTAATATTTTTTATTTTTATTGGTATGTTATAAATTTTTCAGTGCCGACAAAGCTGTCTATCGCAAGAATTATTTTTTGATAGTGAGACGTATCTCGAGAGGAAGTTTTGTGTATTTATTTAGAGTTTTTCTAGATTGTTCGAGGCGCTTCGTTTTCTGATTAGCAGCTGTTATCTTTTTCCGAAATAGAAGAAGTGAAGTCCCCCGGACGTAACACATCTATCTTTTCTACTATTCTGTTTCTACTCTCTATTCTTTTCTTTACATTCATTCATTGAAAATGCAACACGTTGTGTTGTGATAAACATGTCTTTTTGACGGAAGAGACCACTATCTTCTCGTGGTTTCCGTTGAGCAACAACATTACATACGTAATCTATTAATGAAACTGCAATAAAATTGCTATTACAATAATAGTACATTCCTTTATTACATTTACTTTTTTCTTTTTTTTTAATGTTATTTATATTTGCAATTGACGAAATAAAAAGTATACTCACTGAATAGTTATAAAACAAATAACATTGAAGTTAATTTTTAATCATTTTCTGTATTAAAAATCAGTTTTCTTATATTAAAAATGAAGATTTTTTTAAAGAAAAATGCGTACATATTGGCCAAGAGCGGTATTTTTTTCTTTATTTATTTATGTTCCTGCTTTTCATCATTTTCTAATACATTTATATTTACTTTAAATATTTATTCATTGGAAAATATATAACTATATTTGTTTTATTAATTAATAATTACATTTATTTTATTAAATTTGTAATATATATATATATATATATATATATATATATATATATATATAC